GTCTTCTCGTGGCTGATCTCGCTTGCAATATCCTTCATCAACTCCTTCTTTTCCGTCTTCCGGGCAAAACAGAAGTCATTTACCTACAAGAAAGGAAGCATTCGCGTGAGATTAATGCAATTCGCAAACTGTCTGAACGTTTTCTTCTCGTATTCTCCAAATATTCTGGTATCGAGATCATTTTATATCTAGGTCTGTTTAATATACGGATCGAAAGCAGACGGTTCAGGGTCTTTTCCTGTTCAAGAGGCGTGATCGTCAAGAAGGGAAGACATTATCGAGCCTACTATTAATTGTCAATCGGATTCATTGTTGATAAAGTTGCAAAATGAACTAATTCTAGTTTAAGTAGATGCTGCCACAACTTAAAAGGAATTTCAAGAGGACGGCACTTCGAAAAGCGCATAAAGCTGCCTTAGCCTCAATTCCCCTAAAACAATGACTTAGACCGTTTAACGGTACACAGGCACCTGGTACTACTAAATATGGCAGAAAAAAGCTGTCGTCTGAATTAAACTACGCATATAAGAGGCTTCTAGTACACATAGGCTACCCTCCTTTAGAGACAGGCCCCGGATACAGTTTAACAGCAGCTGGACACGCCGCAAAGGCAGCATCCTTATTATTACACTACACACAGAAATCTCTCCACACTTACCTTGTTCTGGAACTTTAGGAGAATTTCGGTTAGATCGGCATAGAAGGTAACGCCCTGAGTGAAGTCCTGAGTCAGTTGGCTGTAAGCCTCTGCAGCCATGAGCAGGGTCGTGCCGATGGTAGTCTTCGCCTTCGTCTTTCCAAACACAGACTCGTAGTTGGTCTGGATTTCCTTCAGCAGGCTCTCCTGCTTATTCAGACTCTCGCGCACACAATCACGCACGGGTTCCATGGCCTTGTTCAATTTATCGGTTGCTAGCGCAGTGGCGTTCAGTTCAGCTCCCTTGCTGTGGAGTTTTAGGAACTCGTCACCTATAGCACAGGAAATAAAGGCGTCAACGCACACCATATAGGGATAGTATTAGTCAGTGAAAAATTATCAAAACAGAAGGTGGCCCTCCTTTTAAGACTTTGGTAAGGGAAAAAATTACGCCCGGCTTTTGAAAGGTGAGAGAGGGAGGGAGGGAGAGGACGGTTGGTCATGGGAACTGCGAGGATGAAATAAGTGCTAGCGCAAGCGTTGGACATTAGCCGGGTTGTTAACAATAGGGTCGTCACTCACTGCGAAAGCGGTAACTCGGTATATGGAGTTTAAAATGTAAATCGTGAATAGTTTAGTAGAGTGTCACCAACGTCTGAAGCCTGGCTCGGCGAGGTCACCATTTAAGC